CCCGCCCCCGCCCCACCCCCCTCTCTATTGCATTCAGCCCAACACATCATCAGGGCTAAGAGCCTTATTCCAAAAGAGAAGAATCGGTGCCGTTGAGCATTCCTAAATCACTCCTCATGGTTCTGGCAGCTGGAAACCTAAAATCAAGGTGCTACACTCCTATGGCTTTGGTGGCGGCCTTTTCTCTCTCTCTCTCTCTGGCTTTGCTTCCTCAACAAGCCTTGGCTTGCAGACTCCCAACCCCACCATCATCGTGTGGGTGTCTCCAGATCTCCTTGTAGAGGTTCTCAACCTTCCTAATGCTGTGACCCGTTAAAACAGTTCTTCATGTTGTGCTGACCCCAGCTATAAACCTAATTTTGTCGCTACTTCACAACTGTAATCTTTGGAGACAGAGGTTTACCAAGGGAGTTATGACCCACAGGCTGAGAACCGATGGCTTAGAGGGTGTATCAGACAGCTTCCCTGAAATTATCAACTTAAAAAGAGAAATGTTTGTTTGTTCAGAGGTTTCAGCCAAGGTGGCTCAGACACAGCACTTTAGGCCTGTGGGGAGGCAGAGCCTCCCAGCACAGCAGGCAGTGAGGGAGACCTCACAGCAGCTGTGAAAGCAGAGAGAGAGAGAGAGAGAGAGAGAGAGAGAGAGAGAGAGAGGGAAACAGAGAAACAGTAACAGAGAAAGACAGAGAGACAGAAACATATAGAGACACAAGAGACAGAGACAAAGACAGACAGGGACAGAGAGAGAAGGGGGGGCAGAACCTGATTTATTACCTCCTGCAAGGGCACGCCCCCAGTGACCTAACTAACTTCATTCCATAGACCTCCTAAAGTTTCAACTACCCAATAGCACCATAGGCTGACAGCCACACCTCCAACACATAGACTTAGGGGAACACTTAAAAATCTAAACCACAACAGAAAGACACCAGTGATTTGCAGCCCACTCTGACCCCTGTAATGTGAGACCCGAGTTATCTGCTTTCGGCCTTTGGTAAAGAGATGAAGTGGTCTCTTCATGGTGGGCCATTCAAGTTCAGGATGCTCGGGGTATGATGGAGGTCCCACTGATGTGGGCTGCCATGGGCCGGAATGCAGAGTCCTCTTGCCACTGCCTGGGGCATGTTTCAGGTTTCCTTCCTGTGTGACCCCAGCAGTGTCCACCATGGCTCCCCATCTGCAGAGCAGCAGAGGGTACGCACATGCTCACTGACTTCTTGGGAAACTAGGGACAGGGAGGAAGATTCCACATTCCAACCAGAACCCCATGGACCAGTCAAAATCTCACTCCTGGCTCCTTCTCATCTCCACTTCCCGTTTTGTTTTGTTTTGTTTTTTTCTTTTGGGGTTTTTTGAGACAGAGTTTTTCTGTGGCTTTGGAGGCTGTCCTGGAACTAGCTCTTGTGGACTAGGCTGGTCTCAAACTCACAGAGATCTGCCTGCCTCTGGGCTGGGATAAAGGCCTGCGCCACCACCACCCAGCACAAGAGCAGTGTTTTCTCTTTGGGGTTGTGGCCAAGATGGGAAGGAACCCAGGGGCTCAGGAATAACTCCTAATTTGCTTTCCTCATGCACATGTGTCCTCTCTTAAATACCTGAGTGGGATCAGCTCTCCTGTCTAGCCCTGCCCTACACTCTAGAATGTGGCCATCCTTGCTCCGGCTCCCGACCTCTGGGCTCCTGTGTCGCCCCCTCCTGGTATGGTGTACTGACCTGTGTTTTCCCATCAGTCCTCTACACACACCCTGGGGACAGTCCCTGTCCTCGGGAGTGTGTGGGTACCAGCAAAGGTCTATCCACAGAATTACTGTAGGGATGGATTCTCAGTGTCTGCTCAGCCTGAGGCCTCAGCCTCTCCCCTCAACAGCCAGTAACTCCCCCACCCTGGCTCTCGTTGCTTTATATGCACAATGGGATAGCACACACACAATCTGGAGCAGGCAGGTGACCACCATGACCTAACATCTCCCTCTGCTTTTCTTTTCCGTGCCATCACTCTCTGCCCACTCCCCACCAGTCCCGGCTGTGGTGGGACCTGACTTCCACATCCTGCCGTGAGCAGATGGACAGCTTCCGATCGAGCAGCCCCATGCCTCCCAGCCAGCAGTCCCTGTACAAGCGGGTGGCAGAGGACTTCCTGGAAGACCCTGAGTCTCTCAGGTAGAGCACAGTTCAGGTTTGGGTCTAGTTGAAGGGGGTACTAGATAGATGGAGCACTATCTGGGCTTTGGGCACAGCAGGTCAGGCAGGTGCTGGGTGCTCTCAGCCACAGCTGGAGTGGGCCGTACTGCCTGGGTGTGCACTAGCTCCCTGTGCTTTGTGACAGCTTCCCAGAGGTTCTGGAGGTGCGCCTTCCAGGGGCCACAGGGGATGATACAGACACAGACCTGGAGTACGAGATACTAGACGGAGCAGGTGAGCACCACCACACACAAAGACCTCCTCGGGGTGCTCTTTTCCCAGGCCACGAACTGCAGTGGGGCAAGTGAGAGCCTGCATCTCTCTCCAGGATGGTAGAGTGATGTGACCCTGACCTCTGACCTTGGCCTCTGTGTTAGTCGAGTGACCACAGTCCAGCTGAGCTCCGTTGGCTGCCATTGCTGTCATCTTTTTGCTTTTCACGTAGAGGCTAAGAGGGTTGTACTCATAGCCCCACATGGGGCAGCACTTGTGTTCAGACAGCCACACCATCCCCTGCCCTCCCTGTGAACAGGTGGCAGCCGGCACGGGGCTCAGTTGCTTATGGCAGAGACGCCTGGCAGAGGCTGCACCTGATGGGGGCGTCCCTTCTCCTGGGTGCTGTCCCCCAGGCTCTTGGCTTGTGTCCTCATGTCCTTATGTCTGTGCCTGAACTGGTCCCTTGTCCTGACGTCCACCGAGGGCACACCTGTCTCTCACAAAAAGGTGTTTGGCTCCCACCCAGAATTCCCCTCACAGCCACCAGAGGGCAAGAGTGAGTCCCTCTCATTCAACACAGTGGACCCAAAACCCTTGCAGGCTCCACCTCTGGTTCACACTGCTGCTGGATCAAACTCAAGCTCATCTGGGTTGTTTCCTCATTTTAATTTGGCTTTTAAGATAATAGGTTTTTTTTTCTTGTGATCTGAGCTAAGGCCATCCGTGGGTGGCACCTGTTAGGTGTCCAGTGGATCTTAAGATGAGGATAAGAAGGCCCCTGGCCCAAGGTCACAGAATTCACATTGACATGCTGAATCTGGGCCTGACCACCAGAATCCATGTAAACACCAGGCACGACAGCAGCATAAGACCCCAGCATAAGCGCTGGGGAGTCAAGATAGGCACATATGTGAGGTTCTCTGACCAGCGGGGCTCACTGAAATGAAGAGCTCTGGGCTTAGTAAGAGACCCTGCCTCACAAAATAAGATGGAAGTGATAGAGGAACTGATAGAAGAATATAATTAAAGCTGACTTCTGACTTACATACACATACAGACAGACACACAGACACACACACAGACACACACACAGACAGACACACACACACAGAGACACACAGAGACACACACACACACAGACATAGACACAGACACACACACA